AAGATTTATAACTAAGGACCTTTTTTTTTTTCATTTGTTACTGTTAAAATTAGTATACATAGTTTTTAGCTTTCTCTATTTTATGTATTTATAAGTTTCTTTAGGATATTTTTGTCCATATTTTATATTATAAAACTAATGCAACGCATATACATACTACGCGTATGCCGGAAATGTAATGATTAATGAACAATCATGTGCCTATTGTTTACCTGTAGAATATAATCTATTGTTCCAATAAAATTATTATTTTTTTTATTATTAAATTAGAAAATACTCAGTTTATATGTTTATATTTATTATGTTTGTATACTTGACTGGTATAGTAATGAGTATAATAAAATTTGACTAACAATTAAACTTTGTTAACATCATTATGTCTTATAATAATCAAATGAGATGAAAACAGAATTCATTATGATAATACGTAATCTTAAATAGGTTCCTAAAATATATCAACACGTTATATTTTATAATTGTCATTAATCTGCTTTTTGGTTCCAATTTTGTGCCTTCAATAAGTACATGAATCATTTTTTCTTCTTTTGATATAAACACATTAAAGAATTAATATGGAATTACATTTTTAACTGTCAAAAACTTTTTTATATATGGACCACGTTTTCATGTGTGTAATAAATAGGGTACAATTTTTTAATAAAAAAAATAAATAATATTTAAAGTCTGATTGAAATAGCTTAAGATTTTCATAATACTTATTTAGGTAGGAAAATTATTTAATTTTAATACCTATTATTTTTAATTTTTTTTTTTTGCACTATACCTACTTTAAAAATAAATAAAAATGATATTTGAACTCAATGGTAAATGTATCATGTATCATGTATTAATACGTTAATAAAATAGACGTGTAAAAATATCTGTGATTTCAAGAAATCAAACAACGCAATGCCGAGGTACAACTATTATCGGAGTTCATAATAAATATTAAACAAGCTGGATGACAATAATCAACAATCATTATATGAAATATTGACGACACTCGACAATTTAACGTATGTATCTTAAATAATGTTATAATCACATTTCATATAATTTTGTATAATATTCATAAGTCATAACAATGATCATTTTTTATAATTTACATTTATTTTATTATTAAATTTGTAAGGGTATTATTTTTCTAATTTCATTATTATATGCATGTATTCAATACTGACAATATTTGTTTTATAATATAAGTCACAACTCACAATAATAGTAGATAAAAATTGTTTTAAATAAATCGTCACGTTTACACGAATATGTACATGTACGGACATGTATACTACAAGTAAATGCTATAACACAATATTATGTATCGTTGTTGTTTCGTTCTTTATGTAACAAGTATTGGTTAAAATAATTTATTAGATAATTCAAAAACTAATATAGTACTAAGTAGATACTTAAAATTTTTATCAAATGTTTATATCATCATTTTTTATGCGTTATATAATTTTCAAAGTATAGTAACTCTTTTTGATCTATTTATAGTCATCAGAAAATTACAAATTCTTTTTATTTTTTTATTTTTTTATAAATGTTAATAACAATTATTATCTATAGGTTAGTTAGAAAATGTAATAAAAGATTTCACATAAATTGTTATTATATGCAATTTGCACAGGGCCTTGCGGAAACGGAGCTCACTCGAGAAAAACAAATCCTTAGCGACTAAATATATTATTCTTATATATATAAAAGAACAGCCTTTTTTTGTTCCCGTTTTATGACAACACTATTAACATTTTTCCAATTTTTTTTTTCACAGAGTTGTTCAAAATACCTTCCTTAGTATCACCACGCGTCGTCCGATTTTTCATATTGTTTCGCTGAGAGGAGGGGGGAAAGAGGATTGTATTCATATTACTGCAGTTATAATCGTTTAGTTCATCAGTGCGCGGTTGTTTACTATTATTAAAGAGTATTGTCAATTACTACGCGATATGATTACCATAGCAATAGATAATTTGTATTTAAACGACGATGTTACTAAATGCATTTTTAGACATCGTAAAATTTCAAACATCGCTTATTTCACAGAATGTATTATTTTATCAAACACCATTTATATATTCAGCCGTTGAAAACTTGGATGATTTTCAAATTTTGTATAATGGTTGTATTAGAAATGATGCTATCCTTAAAAGTCCAATGTTGTGTTTAAATCCGTTATAAAACAGCCAGATACCTATCTAAGGTATTCCTGAGGAGTTTTTGCAATTGCATTTGCTACATCACTAATATTTGGACGTAAATTAATTTAGACAATGTAACATATCTTGTTAATGTGTAATAAGTTGAATTCTGTTGGATTACTGGACCGATCATAGCCGCTTTTGACGCGGACGTTTAATACATTTCCATATTGAGCAAAGCTTTGCGATACGTGCTCAGATTTTGTTGATGTCATTAAGAGACCGACGAACAGCTAGTGGTCGTTCGACGGCTGTGACGACGGACGCGACCACGGTGAACGGCGAACGTCCCGGAAGCATCGAACTGGACCATGAATGATTGTACATACCGTTTCGCGGTGGCCATAACCAAAAACTGGCCGGATGCTCATCGAACAGTGTAAATCGATTCGATGACCACAGGTTGGCCGTTTCCGATGTGGCCGCTCGACCCCGGAACTGTGCTCAGCCCGTGACCACGGATAGCGAGCCGTCCGCGTTCACTTGCGAGTATTCCGCGCCCTTCGAATACGACTGTCACACGTCTTCCGGCGCGTTGTGAAATGCCTTCCGGCCACTTCGTGGCCGACAATCACGTCGCTGTACGCCTAGGGCCCGCCACTGCCGCCGCTGCTGTTCACGTCTCCAGTCTGACATATCTTTTCTTTGTATTCGGGCCCTCTAGCTGTCACCGCGGACGCAGACGTCGACGCTGCTGTTCACATCTTCCATTTGACATAATTATTTTTCTTCATACTTACTCGCTCTGTGCCTAATCGAATTTCATCGGTCCTTGCTCCTGCTCAGCCGATTTGTGTTTATTTGCAGCTTTTTTCTGCTTCCCGGGGGCCCCCCCCCCCCCCCCTTCCCTCGGAGCTACATCCCATAAAATCTTTAAAGAATTAGCTTAGATTATTTAAAGTTTTGTATTTCGGAATAGCTGAACTTTTGAACTGTATTAAGTTATAAGTTAAATTACCTATACAAATTATAATTATAATTATAGAAAAAATTTTTAACAATAAATAATAATATATATATTATTTACATATTAGAATTATACGTAAATATTATTATTATTACTATTGTTTTATTTATAATTCAGTTACTGCTACTATTTGGTATTTGATAAAATTAAGTAACATTTTGAGAAAGTACAAACTACACACAGGCGAAGCCGGGGAATTTAGCTAGGTAGTAATTTTTGAAAGATAACATTATTACTAATAATATTACACTTTTCAAACTAAAGTTGAAATAATAGTTTAGTAATATTCTAGAGATCAGTACTAATAGCACTTTATTTTTATAAATACTGATTATTGATACAATGACATGTTAAAATAATAAAATGTATAACATTTAATATTATGGTTGTTAGTATCATTTCTTATAAAAAATTATAAGTATTTTTGTGGTAAGAATTATTGTAGAGTGATTAACTACCGAAAAGTAAGACGTAAACCATGTCAAATGTCATCATGTCGATAATATACCTATTATCTTAGTATATATTAGTATATATATATACTAATGTATAGGTTCAAATAAGTTAAAATATAAGCTCTAAACATTGCACCAATAGTTATTATATGCATCGAAGTAAGGTAATTTTAATCATAGTGCAATTTTATCCTCAATGTATTTTAACTTTACTCCAAACTTTTGGGAAAAAATAAATAAGTTTCTAGTATAAAAATCAGATTTTTTTGAATTGTTCTTACCTCTCAACATTTGTATGTAAAAAAAATGCCAACAAGTAATTTTCGTTTTAATTATTGAAGCTATAGTATAGGATTAAACTTAAAATGTAATATATTTGTAGCAAAGTATCTCACTCTTAGAGTCTTACGGTACCTGCCTAATCTTGAGAAACAGTACCTAGGTATCTCACACACTCGTGTTCTTTTAATTATTCATCTAAAATATGTTTTATTGTGTGTATTTATTTGAAGTTAAAAGTGAAGAATACATTATTATATGAAATAGGTATTAATTGTTGTGTATTATTTTGTTTCAATTATTTAGCACGGGGCCCCGCAATTCGTAGCGCCGGTCCTGCGTTCGAGAACAATAGTCATACCGCACCAGATTTGTACTGTTTGGAAGCCAACCGGTAATAGCGTAGTATAATTAATCATTTATCATAATAATCACGAATCATAATAATAATAATAATAATAATCTACCATTGTGCATTTGCTACAAATAATTACAATACAAACAATATTATATAGATGTGTTTATGGTATGAAATACCACCTGTGCATCAGCCACGGGTCGTTAGCTAGAGTGATAAGCAAATGATAAGGTGCCGAGATACAACACCATCGGCGCATGGAATCATAACAATAATATTGCCAGCCGTAGTAGTTGTCATGGTGGTCGCCGTTATCATCGACTTGTAGAGTAAACAAACACATAACGGCACACGTAATGGAACTCGATCGTCATATTAGCATTTAGCACAGCCTACTGCCAAACGTTTAACGTACCAACTAACGTAAAAGGTCATAACTTTTGGAATTTGCGTGCCGCGCTGTGCCACATTTGTTTATTGTCTCTGCCAACTGGTTTCGATGCGAGACGCACGCGCCGTACAATCCGCATTGTAAATCGTCTCGTCGTACACCGTAATGACGTGGTGCTGTCGCCGTTATTGCTGTTGTGATAACTCTGCTGGTACGCTGCGTTCACCGCCTTCGACACATCGGCGGCGAAGTTCGACGTCAGTCCACCGTCCTCGGAGTGCGTCGACACCACGGCCGGTATCGCCGCTGAAGCGCCAAGAGCACCGGCACGCAAGTCCCTAGTTCCCGGACTCGAGATCAGCTGCGTCCACGATGAACGGATACGACTTTGAGTATGCGCTGCGTGTTTCCGCTTCGGTGTGCACGTGCGTCCAGTTCTTGTCCGGACTGTGAGTACCAAATGCCATGGCAGTGCGCTATTATGTATCTACGATGAACGACTGTTGCTGAGGACATAGTGTTAGATGTTGACTACACCTGATAATCGACAACAAGTTGCTCGTGGATAATAATATATATTGCCATACTACAATACTGACGTAGATATTGTTGATTTGTTACAGATTGATATGTGTTAATTTCGTGAAGAAGGGCAAAGTATCGAACGAGTCTGTAGTACCATTTGTCACTGGATTTCTATCGTAAGTTATTTTGACTTTTACAACCATGTCACTGTGGTAAATAAGTACATTTGTAGACTACTGTCTTGCTTCCCACATAATTGTTTTACTAGTACAATATTATTAACAATATATCATTATTATTGTTACCAAACTATTGAAATAAACTATTTTATGAAATATCAATTACTATTCTGATTTAGCATTAATATTATTATACTCTATTGTTTCAGGTGTTCACTGTGGTTGTATTATGGTATGATATTGGTCAACAGCACTTTAGTGTCAGTGAATGCTTTTGGCTGTTTGCTGTTTGCGATATACATATGGATATACTATAGATACACGTCAAAAAAAGTAAGTTATTCATAAAGCAACTTTCTAGAATAAAATTAGTTGAAGTATTTAATCAACAGCTAATTTTACATAATTTACATATTTTATAGCAACAATAACTGACATATAGTCCTAAAAGAACACAAAATATGCAAGCATTTATATGTTTAACATTTTTTTTCTTGTGGTTTAATTTATTTTAATATAATAAATTGCTTTTAAAATAAGACAGACAATAAGGTTATACCAAATTTACACTCAAATACTACTTAATTGACCTGATTAACTGGGATTTATGAATATTTGTATAAAAAAAAGAAAGAAATATTACTCTAATATCAAAAAAGACCTTATTTTATTATGGAATAACTAATTATAGATTTGTCATAACATGAAACAAATTTGTTGCTAGTTTTTTATGTGGTTAGTGTAATTGTTGCATAAAATAAATATGCAATAGGTAAAATATACTAGAAATCAGCTTTATACATTACAATATAATTACAGTTAAATAACTTAGTGTTAATTTTTTTTTTCTTTTAATTTTCCAATTGTGTGCAATGAAAAAAAATGTTTGTACCTACTTATAGTACACAGAAAAATTGGACAGAATTGTTCTTTTTTAAAAATTAAACTTGTTTTTTAATTCAACTCAAGATGTACAATTGCAATTGATAGTACTAGGATAATTTTATTTTTCAGAAACTCTTCAATAATAATTTTTTTGTTATTCTTGAATAGGTTTACTCATTGGTTATAAATTATAATATTTTACTTACTAATTACTTATTTATATTATAACACGTTTTCTTTTGGTACATTAAAAACGAGTGATGCAGTATGTAGTATCAGCTATTGCTGTTATAGCGTGGATTGTGTATATTACATACACAAATGTAAATCAAAAGCAGTCAAAAACTGTGTCATCCATAGAATTACATCAGCCTCAATCAGTGGAGAAGGCTGCAGTAACGCCTTTAAGTATATCAGACACATCAATCATCTCTTCAACCACTAATGATGCTATAGATCGTGTTGGATTTTTATGTTCTCTCACTACTATGTTATTTTTTGCTGCACCATTTTCAAATTTAGTAAGTGTCATAACTTTTAACTTAATTGTATATAGGTTGTTTCTCAATGAACCGACAATTGCAATAACTTTTGTTCTATTGAATATTTTCAAAAAATTTTTTTTAATTGTCAATTGTCATTTGCGCTACATTTAAAATATTTTTTGATATTTTTTTAACAATCCCTGTTTCATATTTAAAAAAATCAAAATATTCATGTTCAATGGAATGAAAGTTATTGCAATTGTCAGTTCACTGTGAAACACCATGTATATGTCACATCTACTTCATGTAATTGTGTATTTCATAATAATTTATTCAGTTCATAAAATGAAATAATTTTTTTCCACTTAGTAATATATATATAAATGTTATTAAGTGGATATCTTTTGAAAAATTAGTACGAGAATTTAATATTGTGTAATTTTGTTTCACTAAATTAATGGTCTTTATTATAGATATTATTTTGAAAAATTTGGGATATGTTATTATTTATTTATTTAATTAAGGTATATTAAATATGAAATAGATAATTTTCATTTCATTTTTAATATTTCTAATAATTATATTTTTATATCTGTACCTTTGATAAAAAATTACCTATATTTATGCTGGTGTACACAACTTCAATACATTGTAAGATTTTGTGGTTACAATATGTTTAGTATATACAAGTGAAGTGGACAAATTCAGAGGTAAAATTTAATGTAATTGTCATTATCACATTCCAAGTAATTGTTTTAATAAAGAAGTTATTAAATTTAAAAAGATAAAATTTCAAGTACTTACTACTTAATCTTTATCATGTTATTTTAAAATTATTTATTATACCTATAAATGATTAAAATAATAACATATTCTAAATCTTTAAAAATAATATTTATAATAAAGCCATTTGACAAAAAAAAATTTTATATCAAATTTTAGTACTTATTTTATGAAAAGATATCGATTTAAGAGGATGTCATATCTGCATGTGTTGTTCTAGTTTTATGTTGTTAACTTAAATATTAGAATAGAACGAATTGTGGTATTATTAAACTTACAAAGTAAGAAAATTATTTATATTCTCTTGTTGGATTTTTATAATTTAATTTTCAACAAGTTATAAGTACAGTCGACTCTCGATAATTCGAAATTGACGGGACTGTTGAAAAACTTTGAATTACCGAGAGTTCGAATTGTTGAGTAGTTCAAAATAACGAGAGGGCAAAACAAATTCAAATTATAGAGAGTTAAGAAAAAAATTTTATTTTTTATTATTGTACATACATACATATTATAGTTATTTCAGTAAATTAGGTGATACATACATATTACAGTTATTTATTGTTAGTTTTATTATTAATATAAAAGATTATTATTTTTTGAAGAAATCTGCAATGGTTTTCTGCTTCATTGAATTTAGTTTCATTTTTTCAAAAATAAAACTATATTCGGCTGACGGCTATCGACGACTCGACGAGTTAAATAAAATTACGATTAGAGACGATTAAGAAATAAAACGATAAGGTTCTAACGATATTATTCTATAGTTATCGACAATAATAATCTAAATTTGTACACGATTGTATAGTAAATTATTAATAAAAAGATTATAAGAATACAGATAAAATACATTTGGTGAATATATTATGTACTTCGAATTTCCGAGCATTGAACGAATGATACTTCAAATTGTCAAGTGTTAGTGGCCAGTTTTCCAAAAATTTAATTTCGAATTACCGAGTGTACTTAATTGCATTGTTTTTATTCGAATTACCGCGTGATTTTCAAGGGGCCGAGCATTTACTTCGAATTACTGAAGGTTTCGAATTATCGAAGGTTTGAATTATCGAGAGTCTACTGTATTATTAAATGTCATCATTTTATATATTTATAACTTGCTTAGAAATTAAAATATTCTAAAAATTCAACGATAGAACGCAAATAATGTTCTATTCTAATTCCTAAATTAACAACTCAAAACTAAAACTACTCATTTTAAATATTAGTATGTTTTGCATTAGTAAGACGAAGACTACATAATATGCAGATATGACGTTATTTTAATGAAATTTTTAAATATTTCATTAAATGAAAAAAATGGGTTCTATTTCATGAACTGAATGACTTTTCGTGAAATGTACCTACCATTTTATTAAGTGGATGAAACATATACATAAATAAGTAATAGTATTTTATATCTTGTAAGCAATATCACAATCACAAACTGATTATTTCTTTAATTAACAATTGTTGTAGATTCATGTGATAAGAACTAAAAATACAGAGTCAATGCCGCTGCCATTGATTATAATGACATTCCTTGTTTCTGCTCAGTGGCTGGTTTATGGCCGAATGTTACGTGACAAGTTTATGATGGTAACTTACAATTAAGTTAGATCTTTCAAATAATATTATAGAATACAGTATATAATATATTTATGTTAAGGTGTATGACCGCATGGTAGTGAATATTGACATTTACCTATCATTTTGGTGAATTTCATAATTTTTTTTAAATATTTCACATTGCAGACATTTACCAGTATTTGTTGACATACACAATAGTTATATAGTGAATGTTGACTTGTCTGACAAAATATGTAATCTAATAGATAGGTAATAAATTCACAAATAAATATAGTTAAAGTAAAAATTATTTAAGTTTTATCTATTACAACACGGTCAATTATTATGGCATTTACTATTATGAAGTATTCCCCCATTCTTACTATTACATTTTTTATATTACAAAACTTTTGTCTGTTGTCGGGATGAAAAATGTTTGAAGCATTGAAAAAAAGAAATATATATTTAATAAGTAATGTTCAACTTTTTCTTTTTCTGCAGTTTTAGATTTTAGAAGTCTTAATTAAATAAACTTGGTTAGGTGATCCTGATAATTTAATATAAATTTAAATTCACTATTTTTGAAAGTTTGCATGTCTACCAAGTCTACTTGACACCAGAAATTAAGTTCACAACTTATAATAGGTTACGACTTATAATAAGTTAGATTACAATATCTTTTTTCGGAGTTTTTGTTTGGTTTTACATTGAACACATAAATTAAAAATAACATAACAACTTAAAATGCTATATTTTTGAATTTGTTGTGCAATTTGTTCATCATTCTGGTTTGCTCTCCATGACTAGTTTCTGTGTGAGCTTTGTGCATAGTGTTATATAGTTCTTTATTCTTTACATAGTAAATAATTAATTTTAGTTTCATCTGCTTTTAATGGTACGATGAGTTTATGATTATCCGTAAAATCCACAACATCATACCAGTCAACATTTACCATACACAAATTAAAAATGTGTCATATATTTATCTAAAAATCACGGATGTATGAACATGTTGAGACCATTTTGTCAACATTCACTACGATTTTTGGTAAATGTTAACATACACTGGTGACTGTAAACATTCGCCTATTGCGATCATATACCTTAATATTTAAATATATATATATTTAGTTGTATTATGACGACTATGGCTCGGATGTTTGTGAAATTGCATATTATTTTTTATTTATCCAATTTAATGCATATCTGGATACAAATTTAATTCATGTTCAATGGAATCAAATAATACTATTTTTATTTTGCATATTTTAGTATATTTTTTTAAAAGACAATTTAAATTAAAAACAGGAAAAGAAATTTACAATAAATTTCGAAACATAATTAAAAAAAATAAAGGATTTAAAATCTTGGAACAAATTTTGAAAGAACATTCTGATGAAGTTATTACAATGGATGGAATAGAAGATTATTTGAAGGTTGAGGATCTTATATTCTTCAAATATGCTTCAGTAACATCAGTTGATGTAGAACAAAGCTTTTCACGCTACAACAATTTACTTAGCGATAATAAATGCAGTTACGAATTGAATAAATTAAAAAAAACCATAGTAGCACAGTGTTACACTAATGATGGTAATAATTAATAAATAATAATGTAAATAAAAGTAAATAAAACACTATGTAATTTAAAAAAATGTATTTTAAGTTGCATTAAAAAAATAATAAATAAAAATAACTACTAGGCAATAAAAATAAAATATTTATGTTTTATGAGTTATAATAACAATTTTTGTGCATATTTTGGTGTTTTTATTGGCTAAAAATGTATATTTTATAATTTTTAGTGCATGTTTTGATAATATATTTCCTAATGTTTTAGTGCATAAATGCATACATGTTACAGTACTTTTAAGTGCATAAACATACGAGCTCTAATAATGACTAAATCATATTAATAATTCTAGTATATAGTATATACTATATTTTATTTAATGTTTAATATAATTATCATTGATGAATTGTTTTTGTTTTAGTACCCAAATGCTGTTGGATGTATGCTTTCTATCATACAACTAGCTCTATTTGTTATTTATCCTAGAAAGTCGACTGTACCATTGACCACTGAACTCCATAATCATCACAATCCATATCCATATATTAAATTAATGGATGCATAAATGTAAATTTCATTATTACTTTACCAATGTCTGTAAATATGTTGGGTAGATAATGTTGCAGTCTTCATGACCGTGATGTTTTATCAGAGAAGTACAAAATACTAAAATCTAAAACTATAAAAAAATCTAAGTATTGTTATGATGTTATTATTATTGAACATATATTCTAAGTGTTACACTTGTGATATTTATATTATAATTTAAATTAATTATATTTAGTTTTCATGTTGTTGTTCTATACCATTAGTGGTAGTATAATTGGTAAATTATGTTGTTGTCGCAGAATTATGTGATTTATTGATGGCTGTTAATTATGTTTTTTCAGTATTGTATTCTATAAATTATTTTATATAAAAATGTAAAACAGTATTTAACGTTTTTCTCAACCATCGTGTATTATCACTTATTAAATACTTATTATGTTCCTTCTAGTTTTTAGTTAGGGCAAAATAAGAAACCCCACACTATTGTAATTATTGATATCCCATTTGGAAGTAAAGCAGTCTATGAAGTACATAAACTTACAATGTATTTATTTTAAGGCAAAAAGTATTAAAAATTAAATCATTAATAGTGTAATATTATAGTTATTTATAATTTTTATTTTTCATTTAAAATGTGTTATAACATAATATTATGTATCTTGTACTTAAAACTAATGTAAAATCGTGTTTATTAACAACCAAAAAAGGATAATAATATTTTGTAATACTACTATTATTATTGAATTACTCAAAATAAAAATATAAAATATTTTATTTGCGTCTTTATTCTTAATTATTTAATTAATGTTGTTAATTGAATAATTTTATATTTAAAATTATTTCCCCTATTAATATGGATTTTAGAGGAAATAAGGTTTGAATTATTATAATTTATAAGACATGAAAATTTAAAGTGATATAAAACTTAACTATTTCATAAACCAAATATGTATTAAGTTTATAAAATTCTCTATGCTCTATTATTAAATTTAAACATTTAATAATAGTGTGTAAAATATTTATATTAGCTAAATATTTATTAAATATTTAGCTGATTTTTTTTGCTATTCATGATTTTGCAATTTAAAAACTTGTTCTACATGACTGAATTCATTGAATAAATTATCTTCATCAAATTTTAAGTTGGAATTATTTTGATTGTTTTCCACAAGAAATTTAATACATTTTTAAACATTTTCCCAAATAGGACAATTTGTTATAACTTATAATCATTAAATATACGAGTGAAATGTCACAGCTATTGATATAAGCATCTATTAATTAATATTTGTGGACATATTTATATTTTACAGAATTTATATATTATTCTTTAATTTATCTATTTAGGTAGACCACTGAGTGGTTGAAAGCTTTAGCGTTATATCTATTATATAATTGTATAAAATTTAGTAAATTTAGTAGTTTATAACAATATCATTATTTTAATTTCAGGTTAAATAAATTAAATCAAACATTATTTGTGGTTATCTGTTGATACTTTTTTTAATAGTTTTTTTATAATAATAATTTGTATTAGTTTCCTTGTGTCATAATTATATCTAGTAATGTCGTAGAAATAAAATATATTGTAAAAGGAGTTTATTTTCTTAAAACTTTTTAAATAAAATAAATATTTAAAAAAATTAGCTAAAGATGTTTTATCTAGTGTTGACAAATCATTGTTTATGACATGACTACTTATTAATCACAAAGCAAAACCTTGTCTTGGTGTCATAAGTAGCTTAAAAAAAAAAAAAAAGGACATATTGATTACTCCACTACTATTTATGTATTAAATATGCTTATTAATCTAAAGAGAGCCAAGGGTTCTCAATACTAGTTTCTTTTATCTTCAAAGTAATATTAATTAATACGATTACTACTTCAGTTTGTAATATATTTAAATGATATAAGTAATGTATTATGTACTATGTATATGTATGTGTATTGTGTATGAATGGAAAAAAATTTAGAAAAAATTCAAAAACTACTACTTTTAAATATACATAGGTAAATGAGTACCTAAAATACTTTGTAAATATATCTAAAAAGAACTAATAATGAAAAAAAAAATGCATTTAAGTCTAGTATAGGTGATATATTAAATATATTATTATGTATTGTGTGAAAGTTATAAATTTTTAATTTAAAAAATTTACAACACATGTTAATTTTGAATTTTAATAATTTTATTAATAATTAAACACTATTATTAAAGAAACTATTATCTAGTTTATTTACCAATGTTTTAGAAAAAAAAAAAATGTTATAATTAACTAAGCAAACCTATTGAATTCTAAACGGACAAATGATGAAAGATCCATCTTAAATCTAGTAAGTCATTAATTTACAAACAAAGCGGCGTATAATATTTTAAAGTTACTATAGCTATGAAAATCTTACATGAAACATTAGAAATACAATAAGTATCCAATTTGATATTTTTCAATTTTTGTATTCATAAACTCATAATGAATAACTAATCAAGCCACTAATTAATAGTGATTAATTTCAAATAATAATAGTATGAATATTGATTTAAGATTTTCTTTCAGCTAAAGAATTGTGCTCTTGAGGGTCATGTGCACATAGAGTCGAGGGCATTATAGGTAGTTGGCTTGGCGTTAAACCGTAGACCTTATACTCTAATACGAGGTCTAAGCGTTACACTCATACTGATTGGCGATTGATTATCAATTGCTTATTACAATGATGAAACATAACGATACAAAGTTACACACATAATCAAAGGAACGAGTCGATTCATAATAATTAATATTATTATTCATAGGTCAGGTACTTGTGTCTTCTGAATGCTGACAAATGACAATCCAAAACTAGCAGCAGCTCAGTAAATAAAATTAATAATAACTAGTGTTGCGATTTTAATGTCCAAAAAAAAAATCTCAAAAAAATAACTTAGAAACTCAAAAAATGTACTTTAAAAAAAGTATTTAAATTATATTTATTATAGCTTAAAAATTGAAAAAAATTTATTATTATACTACAGTAGTGTATTTTTTTTTGTTTTAATACTATTGTTAGTTGTTACTTGTTTAGTTCTGTTATACTTCTGTTCTCAATTATGCATTCTAAAATAATAAATTTAAAAAAAAAATTGTTATCAACGATAACTTGTCGTGTTATATAATTTATTATTCGTACATTCATACTGTGGGCAGGTTGCCTGAAGTCTTTAATTAATCGCAACAATTTTCATTCGTTTTTTGAACAGATTGAGAAAAACGCTCAAAAAACTAAGAAAATACTAAAATTGTCAAAAAATGCAAAAAAAAAAAAAACTTAAAAATAATCAGTATCGCCCAAAACACGTTTTATACTTACGGACCAACGTTTCAAAACACCAGAAAAAAAGATGCCTTTGCATCAAAATTCCAGCTTAAATAATTACACATGCAGTTAATAAAGAAATGTAAATTTTAAATTTATAACATTTAAACATTACCTATGGCTTTATGAGAGGTATTGGGCAAGGCCCGTTCATTCTTTGTTATCTACGTTAACGTTTCACCACATTCCACTACGGTCGACGTTATCACTGCCGCCGACGTCGTATCACTGTTGTCGTTACAAACAATAACCACTTCATTTTAACATTTCCTCATTAAATGTTTAAATCATAAACATTTAAAGATTTTGATATTAGACGTCATGTACATGACTTAAATATTATACAGTCCATACGATAATACATTAATTTTTGTTGGCCAGTATGCATTATCAGTAAAATATTTTCACTGTTCAACCACACGACTTATAACAGTTTTCCTGTTTTCAAGTAGAAACGATTCATGACAACAGCACTGCAGTTAACCGAACGGGATCAAGACTTTATTTACTCATATCATAACTACTCCACAGTCTCCACTAGTAATAGTATATGTAACGATCGCGCTTTCGTTGTTGTTGTCGGACATAGCCGATATTTCGACTAATGGTGAGTAAATGTATGTTTTCATTTATTTATACAAGTTTTTACTTTCTTTTATGAATACCGATACTTATACATTGTTAAATACTTGTGTACTTACCGTTCAGCAGTAAGTATTCAAAATATCTTAATATTTTACTACCGTGTTTATAGTTATTCTCTGGAAGTTTGTCGATGTGTTGGAGATGGATGACTATGTTCACGCTGCCGAGTTGACAATTAAAAGTCTCCACCACTGTTAAGACCACGTCATAGACAGCAACACCAATTAGAACACTCTTCACTTTTTTATCACAATGTTTTTCAGAGTCAGACATCAGAAAATGGTACATGCATACATACTTGTAATTATAGTATTATGCATGTTAGTTGTATTGGGCTCAATGGTAATCTATCACATATTGTCACATGAACAGAATTTTCAAATTCAAGCAGCTGTAGCTAAGTTTGTAAATGGCGATGATAATTTCCAGCATATTGGTAAGTATACACAAATCATACTATATTATACTTATTACTATATAATAGCCAATGGCTAAAGGTACTCATGACAAAATAGATAGGTATGCCAGTAATTTGGTGATATACATCTGGGTACCATTGCATATGCTGCCTATCATAATTTTACACAGACATGTATATGATGTCAAAAGTAGTTAACTTGCTCAAAAAATTTGGAGAATGTCAGCTCGTTTGTTTTCCTTTTACCCCTTGCACAACATAAAAAGAAAAAATGCATTCATGCAATATCAATTTTTTTTTTCATGTTTTTGAATAATTTTAGAATAAAATCAATTATTATAAAAATCATGGAAAATAATATTTTTGAGGGTATGGCTTATTAATTTTTTCTAAACATTATATCAAAACAGTTAAATGTTTATTTAAATTTATGAGAAGAATATTTTATTTTCAAAGTCTAATACAAAGTTAAATAATAATAAAATATTAAATCTTTAAAAATATTATCCTTCATAGAACTTATAATAAGGGATTTTGCTTAAAGATTATTCAAAAATTATAAAATTTATTTTATGTAAATTGTTTTTATCTGTGTTGTATGTAGGTCCGAGATAAAATACAAATATTGCGTTGTCATCCTCTTAGATTAAAATTGTAGCTTATAAATTGTTTGCATATCACATCTATTTTGTTTAAGTAATAGTATGATTTATCACATTCATATTAGACATTTTTGATTTGTATATTCAGATTCATCTGCTTCACATTATCACCAAAATTCTATCACGATTTTAGAGGAACAAAAGCCTCTGGTAATTTACAATAGAGTGCCGAAGACCGGATCCACAAGTTTTGTCAATGTAGCCTATGACTTGCATTCCCATAATGCATTTCGAGTTCTTCATGTTAATGTTACGGGCAACTCACATTTGCTTTCCGTCTACGATCAGGTACCACCCGATTGCTAAATTCATCTCAAGCTTGAATTTATTCAATAAGTTAATTAAAATTAATAATTATTTCTTTCAGTTTCGTTTTATTGAAAATACCACACGTTGGGCAAGGCCTGCATTTTATCATGGCCATTTTGCGTACATTGATTTTGAAAAGTAATTTTTGAATAACTTTTAACTCTGTTAGCTAACATTAAATATTATGTTTTAATTACATTTTTTGATTTTTTTTTCAAGATATGGGTACAAGAAGCCATATTATGTTCAATTGTTACGCAGACCTTTGGACAGGTTAGTTTCATACTATTATTTCTTACGGTATGGTGATGATTATAGACCACATCTAGTGCGTAAGAAGCATATGGATTCATCAACAACTTTTGATGAGTGCGTTGAGCGAGGAGGGTCTGATTGCCAAGCAAATCTTTTGTGGTTGCAAATTCCTTTCTTATGTGGCCAATCAGCTGACTGCTGGTTTGTATATTATTCTTTTAATTATTACGATTGATGATGCATTACTAATGAATATTGTGGTGTGAATTATGTAGTTTTAGTTGTTTTCTTATAAAAATATACATTTATTTAACCCAATATGTTTTAAATTTAGAGTGTGGTATAAGAAATATTATTTTATAGGATTCCGGGAAGTGAGTGGGCATTACAACAGGCCAAACGTAATGTTCTTGAAAAATATACTTTAGTTGGAATCACCGAACAAATGGAAGAATATTTACAGATGCTTGAATTTTTGATTCCTGGTGGGATGTTTCGCAATGCTTCTGAACATTTTAAACACAGTATGTATACATATTACATGGTTTATATTTTATTTACTATCCAATGATATACAATAGAATTTTAGTGCTGTGTATTGTTTTAATTACTATAGTATGATATTAAAATTCTAGGCTCTAAGTCACATCTAAGAAAGACTGTCAAGAAACATCCTGTCTCTCGAAAGACCGTACAAAAATTTCACGAATCTACAGTGTGGCAAATGGAAAATGAACTGTATGCATTTGTTACTAGAGAGTTTGCTTTTGCATATGCTAAACAGTTTCCAAATGTTTCATCAGGAAATTCTGGTACTATGAAAAAGCATTTTAAAACTAACAATTTACCTCCACCTAGTTTCCGTTATGAAAAAATATATCCAAAACCATCACACCAGAAAAAGAAAAAAACCACTGCCCGTGTATAATTTTATTATTTTTTTTTTGTCTTTAATAAATAACTATACACAGTAGTACCTATGTTGAAAATAAAGTACCACTTAATATTATTTTTAATGGCTTTAAAATATTATGCTTATGTATTTCTAAAATCCATTTTTTATGATATGTTAAACTATGTGTTCTATATTTTTAGTGAAGACAAAAGTTATTATTTATAATTTGTTTTGAATGTTATCTGTTAAACAGTTGTATTTTATTATTATTATTATTATTTTTTTTTCGTATAATTTACTTGACATTAAGTATTGTAGTCAAAAACGTTATTTTTATATACTTGTAAAGAATAATAGTTGTAGATCAACCAATATTGACTGAATTTATAATATTTATTAGTTGTTTGTACTTTTTATTATTTATTCTCAGTATTCTTAATGAGAAATAAAAATGGGAATTTAGTTGTAAGACTTCAATGTTGATTTTTTTCTTTTACTTTTAAATTGATTTTAATAAAAACAATAAAGAGTAAAATATTTTATAATGTACAAACTATGTTCAAAACTAATATTTTTGCATACAATAAACAAAACTTATTTTGATGAATTTAGTTAGTTCCTTTAATCAATGATAGTGGTACGACTGGTACAGTAAAATTTAGGATATTATTTTAGTAAAAACTTTAACAAAATTTAACATACATATTATTGTATATTTTTGGTGAGATTCAGTGTAGGTAATATAAACCACAAATTGATATCTTATGATGTGATATGAGTGATATGACATATGTAAGATATTACTTTATGCATTGCATAAACATAGATCGTAAACTTAATTGCTAATTAATGACCTGCATTATTTTTATGGAATCACAGATGAATAACATGCTTTTAATATGTACAACAAGAAATTATTTTATTACAATTTGTTATAATCATGTTTTATGTATTGTGTAGTCTACAGAAAAGATTATTTATGTATAGATTTCGATTTACATTTGGCAATTTTGGTGTGTCAAGATTAGGAAATCTTTTTTTATAATTACAAAATATCTATAGAATAAATCAGCTGCTATCTACTTGTAATAATTTGGTTTAAAATATTCTAAAAATTCAAGTTTATGTATGTATAAACATACACAATTATTTAATAATGGAATTAATGATAAGAATTATTAATTTGAAACAACTAAGATTTATGTTTCTTTTTAAGATTTTATTGTTGGCTTATTGTGTAATGATGTATAGGCATTGTGTGATAATATGAAAAAAACTAACAATTATTAGTCTTTAAATAATTTACTCTAATGTGTTAATAATTTCAATTTTCAATACATTTCATGTTTTATTTATTAGACCTCAAAATCATAAGTAGATTTTTATGCTTTTGCGTGTTTTTTTTTTAGTTCAAATTGATTGGTTGTCAGGTGTATCCACGATTCAGTTTGTTCTCGATTAAATAGAACCATTTTTTTTTTTTTGTGCATTATTTTGGTAACTAAAATGTATATTTTACAATTTTTATTAATTACATATAAATCCTTACCATAGTCATGAGATTCTAAGGAACATTTTTTAGGCAACTTCTTATACACTAGATCATCGAATTTATCGCCGTGTTTACAAGTTATATTATGATCACATAAAATTGAAAATAAACATATCAAAATTAATATTTATGATCATTGGCATGAACTGGAAAGGTTGAAAGTGTAAATTATTCATTTCGTAAAAATTAATGAAGATTTAATCATTTCATATTTTATAAATTATTTATAAAAATAAAGTAGATGATAATTACAATTACTTACACAGCTATACTAATTATTTCCATAATTTTCAACTTTAAAAAAAATATACTTTACATAATTTAAGCCATTGTAAAACAAAATTTTCAAAACAAAAAAATATTTATTCCTTAAAATTTTTACCTTTTAAATTTTTATTTATTTGAACGACAACATATTTTTGTATTTTTAGCAGAATATTTTATTGAGTAATTCCGACTTTGGTACATAAAACTGAGTACTCAGTTTATATCAGCCAGATAAATTGAGACGGCGGCGGCGGCGCGATTACGGAAAACCAGGGGTTCTCCATATTTGAATATTATTACCGAAAATACATCAATAAACCAACAATTGTCACAAAAATTATTTTACGATATTAATTTAAAATCAAATATTCTGATAATAATCTTTTATTTAAGAACAAAAAGTAGAAATTGTAAAATAATATAAATAATATAATAAAAATAATAATAATAATAATAAATAATATTAATAACATAATAACAACATCTATGTACATAATAATATTATAAATAACAATTATTTTAATATACATATCAACAGTTTGTTATGGCTGAAGTGGTACTACACCTAAATCATCGTTTTCATCTTCAGTACTTGTATCGCTGTCTTCAGTTGTATCTTCTCCGTACGTTACTATTAATTTATTTTTTAATTTATTTTTTTTTTGTACCCATGTAACACCACATTGACTGCTACGAGAGTCGTATAAAGGTCATAGAAAATTTAAAATTTCTATTATTAAATAAAAATGAGTTAAGATATTTACAAAATATTTGAACTTAATACGAAAGTTTGTTGATAATTTCAAGCATCTATGGTTATTCGTTTTTTAATAATTACAACAACATTAGTACACTTGATTTTATCAAAGACTAGTTTTTCATAAAAATTCCAGTTTATTAATTTTTTTTTTTACTATTTTTAAAAGTAATAATTTTTACCTACCAAAGGTGCAATTATCAACTTTTCTTACCAGAAAAGTTTAAAATCTAAGCATTGGTTCTACTATATACCTCGTTTATATATAAAAAAAAATGTAAATTCAACATTGTAAAATAACTAAATTTAAAGCCTATTCAAAGATCACTCACAATTTAAAATCAATTTAAAAATGTAAGAGCACAGTTGGTGAACATCGTGACTAGTTAATGAAATAGTTTTCAGACATTTTTCCGGATAAATAAATAAATGAATACGATATTAGCAAACGATCAATATTTCGCGAAAGAAAATAATTTAATATTTCTGTAGTGCGCCATTATGGGCACGTGCGCTCTGCTGTTAATCCTTTTGATACGAACTACGCGCTGACACGCATTTACAGCCAACAGGACTCGCAGCAAGGACACGCTCTCCGGCTCTCCTTAATCACTTCTACGGATTATAATAATAATAATACTATTGTGCACCATGACGCATAACGTACGTCACATTATAATAATAATTATGTCACGGTTATCTGCGGTATCGCCTTGGACTTGAATCGAAACCGTGTCGGCCCGCCGTCGATTTCGTTGATATCGTCGAGGACGTCGATGAAACGGGAGTTCACGGTACCAGGGTCGCACGGGCTTTTAGCTGTGTCCCGGCTTCGTCGTCGTACGCGCAAGCGGCGGCGGTGCTGATCGACGGCGGTACAACCACTCGTTCGACGACCAACGCGAAAACGACATGCGTTCCTGATCGGTTCGCGTCGACGTTTCGTCGACGTTGTGTTACGTCATCCGCGACGCACCGTATAGCGATCGCACATTCGCACGTCGGATTTCGAGAGGAGGACGCTTCACCCGCATGCGTCGTCTTACTTGGCAACCGAAGTTTTACACTCGAAGCAGGAGATTTTGGACTGTGCAACGTCGTTTTTATTCTTTCGATATAAAAACCACAAGAAGAGTCATTCGCGTTTGAAAAACACAAAAATTATGGGATTTGAAACGTTAAGAACTTTTTTCGTATTGGTGGTATCAAAATATTAAAAGCGATGTCGCACTGTTCAAAATCTCCGCTTTCTAGTGTGAAAATTCGGTTGCTCGATTTGGACTACACAGTCCGAATGGTTGTCGCCCTCGTGAAACGGTTTTTACTATTTTGTACGTACGCGGGCGAAGTGTCCTCTTAACTCGATGGTTTTATTTCAGTTAGTTTCAAAAATCCAATTAACAAAATGTTATGCGCATTATTAAAATAACCAGAATCGATAAATAATACATTTACAAATCAAAAAACGACGAATAAGTAATATTGCCATACTGTGGATTAGATACACTCGTAGGTACCTAATTGATACACTTGGAGCACAGATGTCAGATTGCTGAAATGACACATTATACAATTGCGCGGGGGTGAATTCGAATAATGCGTTAAATGTACGTTTTATTTTTTATATAGTTCACTACGTGACTCATTATTATAGCTTTTAACGACGTTGGTGCTTTTTATTATCGAACTTTTATATTTTGTTTATTATTTACTGTACAAAAATTTGTTTACTAGACAATTTATCTTAAACGTATCTATTTCCCTAGTTCCCAAACATTCAAAATATTACAATTTTTTATGCGAATAATTAGCATGAATTTGCACGAATATTTTCGCAATTTGTATGTTTTTGGAATTTGCATAAAATCTAAAATTTACCACGGGGGCTGTAAAAACAAATATTTTTTTATAAAATTTATTCCTAAGCCGATTTAGCACGTAATTAAGGACAAATTAGTACGAACTTAATTGGGATTTTATAATAGACCAAAATACAAATAATTTTTCGAAACGCTCAAGTACAAAAAAGTTAAACAGAAATATCAAAGTTTATACACCGTTATAGTCTTATAGACTTACTTAAAATCGGTGCATACTACTTGTGTCCCAAATTGATAATAGCAGGGAACTTGCGTCCCAACAGTTAGGACGCAAGTTACTTGTCGTATATATTGATGTGTTAATTGCATCTCGAATGATAATTTCTTAAAGATATAATTTTATAGTTAGGCATATCTACAAAAAAACATAGGTATAGGTATATAAATTGTTATATTAATTATTAAAAAAATTTTGAAATATTTCACAAAATTGCTAATTTCAGAACTGTATGAATATAATACGAAAATAAAACACAGATATGAACAGTAAAACTTCTCTATAACGGATTCTCTATTAGATGGAATCCTCCTTATAACGAAATATATCAATAGTCCCAGTTCAAATAACAATATATGAAATTGACATCTCTAAGACGGAACCTCTACAAAACGAAAACGGACCATTTTTGAGACTTAATTAGCAAAAATACTCTCTGTAAGACGAAAAAAAAAATTATTTAAATATAAAAATATTTAATTTTATCATTATATGAAATATCGCTCCAATGGTAAATCTCAAGATATTGATTTATTTATTACCTTCTAATAAGCATGTAGACGTATAGCAAATATTATATATGTAATATACCTACAGCAAAATTTTGTAAATGTGAACTGTTCAATCGTCTGTTGTGTTCGCGTTTTATTGTTATGATTTCGTTTATTTTCGTACTCTTTTAAACTCACTAATATGCCACGTACAACACTGACTATTTGTTCAATAAAGTTAGATTAAATAAGTTGAATGAGAGAGTAAAACTAAATACGAAGGAAATTATTACAAAATTTTAACGTGGAAAAACTCAAATTTATAATTTTTAAATATAAATTTACGTTGTACGAATATTTACCTAAAATATAATTTTTTTTTTTAACACATTTGTAAATTCTTGAAACTTGATTTTTTTTACCTTCCTATAACGGAAAAAAAGTTCTGGGTTCCAAGCGATTCCGTTATAGAGAGGTTTTCATATAATTAAAAAAAATCTATAAATGTTGTTATAAATCAATATTAGGTAAACATTTATGACATACATTAGTTTTAAATAACATACTATTAATTTCTTTGTTGTTAAGTTTGGCAATTTGAGTTTCGATAAATTTTATTTTATCTTTTTGGTCACTTCTATAATTTTTTTTGGTTTATTCGAACTGTTCATTAGAATATACGTATTAATTTAAAATTCTTTTAGTACTTTGATGAATACGAAAATATTAGGGTGCGAGTGATGAAATGAAGAATTAAATTTCAAATGAAATGATTTACATGAGTTAATGGTTCGCTGAACATTAGTGGAACACTCAGCCCATATTTGAGGAGGGAAACGCAAATCTTCAGAGATATAATTATTTAGAATATAATCACAAATTTATTAATACCTAACCAAAATTATCAATATACAAAATAACTCGTCAATAAATATCATACGTAAGTTGCGTCCGAGCATTTGGGATTACCTGTTGTAATATTGCAAATTTTTATCAACAATCTTACGGAACGCAAGTAGCATGCAGCACTTAAAATAACTTATACATGAAGGTACATTGGAAAAATATTTTTAGGTGTCACGAAAAAAATCGAATTTTGAATAATTTGGGGATTGTTGTTTTAAAAAAGATTTAAAATTACTGGTCTTGTCAGTGAATAAAGATACGTATACTATTATAATACCATACGAGAATATATATAATTAATGATCATTGATCATTTTAAGTACGTAAACCGTATACATATAGAGTACAAAGTAATAGTAAAAACATAATAGATAATAGTATAATCGTTGTTCGTTTTTTTTTTTTTTTTTTTTTTTTTTAATTAAATTTTGTATAAAAACTATTTGTTGGTAACGATGGAATAAAAATGAATGTATATTTTCCTACCATTAGTCATGTCAACAAACAAAACGATAAAAGTATATTTTTCTAGATATTTAAAACTGTTCTACGTTTTTATTCACTAATTTATTCGATTGAAATCGTTGTTTCATAAGTTTATATATTTTGTTTCCATTGAATAATAATCAATTGATGTTACACAACTTTTATATTTTGAACGAATTATCTGTAAAATAACAGTTTACATAATGACAAATAACATTATACCTCAGGAAGATAATACTAGTGAGATACTAAGGGCCGACATACTTAAATATGGCTATATGAACAAACGAAATAAACTCAGAAAAAACAAAACAAATGATAATCCAGCCAAACGTCAAGAGTAAGAATAAAATGTGTATACCGTTTACTTTCTATTGACTATTGTAATTTAACATTAGCATGAATATTAAATAGTAAATATTTTTATTCGATGAACTCGGTAAAGATATTAAAAAGTCTATAAACAATTTAAGTTAATAATCATTTTAAATTTTGAAATAATATTGTAATCTTCAATTTGGTTAAATTATAATTATATTATATAAGTCACTAAAGCTGATAAGTTTTTTGAATTCCTAATTTAACTAGTTAAAAAAATATAATGATAGAAAATAACCTAATTTAATTAATTAAGTTAATTATTTTCATAAATAATTATAACTTAACTCAGTTATGTTACTAAACCTATGGAAGTTAATTGTAAAAAGCAATTTACAACTTTTTGTACTATAAAGTATAAACCGTATTTTTTTTATCCTGTATTCAAATCGAATAATATTGTAAATACTATTGTGCAAAAGCGATAATATTATTATCGTTGTGGTTATTCGAATCGTCTAGATGATACTGGTCTGTTAATTATGTTAATTAGAAATAGTAATAATAATATTTAATATTGTTATATCAGGTATGCTCAACCTTTTTCAACTTGCGGGCTACAATAAAAAATTATATTTATACTACGGGCAGTATAAACTTCACGGTTTTTTTTTTTTTGTACATTTTATCTGATATATTATTATCTTTATTTACTTATCGAATTTATGACTCTAATCATGTGTGCTTAAAGAACTGAATATTTCCACACTAGTTGCTAGTTTATTTTTGTCATTAGAAACTACAGGTTTACATTTCTTGAATGCAAAAAATATTAAATTAAATTTTAAATTTTAAAATATCTCAAAATAAAAAGAAGGACATTGATACCGAATGCCGTAATTCTTAAAAACTTATGAAAATAACATTTTTTATAAATAATAATTTTTATTTTTTTTACAAATTTCTAATTTTTATAAAATGGTCACGGGCCGGTTGTAATACTTCCGCGGGCCGAATCCGGCCCGTGAATCACGGGTCGGGCTCACCTGTACTATATTATAATAACTCATTTTCATTTCGATAAGAAAATTATTTTTGAATATAATTAATGAAATTTAAAAAAAATAAGTAATTTAATTTTTAATTTTCAGTTTATATAGTTTATTATTTTTCTTTATTAAATTTGTAACATTACTTAGTTACTCAAATTAATTTATATTTTAAAAAATTTTACTTTAAATTAGCTTAGTTATACTTAATGTTTTTTTTTTTTTTTTAGGATAATTTAACTTAAACTAGTTAAAAAAATTATTTAATTTGCCCAGATTTGCAGGTTACTCGTCAATAATAGTAGGAACCTCCTAACAGCTGAATTTTTATAGATTTATTTAATGTATAATAAATTATTTAATCAAAATAATAAGTACTCAATAATAACTAAATAAATAATACCAAATAAGTAGATAATCTAATTAGATACAACAAATTATTTTAATAAAGCGGTTACTGCACTTAAATGTTAAAATTACGACTAAACGAGTATTATTACGGTACTTAAATACTTAAATACTTAACTTAAATACCTATGGCATATTTGTTAATATATAAATAGCCAATACAGTTTATTTCAGTTATTAATGATGGTTATCATTTATTAGGGCAGGATTTAGTGAGAGTTGGCGGAGTTGAATGCAGCCCAGGGCCACCACAATATTTTTTATTTCTATAAATATTGTATAACATGTAAACAAAAATAAAAGGAACTTAAACAATGTTGAATACATATTATAATATCATAAGAAAATTGTTTATTCATTAATGAACATTGAGTATGATATTTGAACAAGATAGCTACTTATAATAATCAATATTTATTAGTTATTAATTAGTATATTCTAATTTTTACAATCAAAGAAAGAGCGCAAAGATATAGGTGAAATATTATCCAATACCTATAGACTTAAAAATTCCTTTTTGTAACATTAAAAATCGAACGATTGGTGGCATATTAAAGAATTCAATATATAATATCAGTTTTTAAGGACTTATATCTGCATATTAAGTTTTTAAAATTATTATTTATAGTAAAAAAGCTTAAAAAATACTTTTGAAAAAGGTTTAAACTACTTTTTGGCAAAGAACTATTGATTAAAAATGTTTTTTACAATTATTTGTGGGCGATGATAGCTTTACTTATACTAAGAATAAATTTTAGTTATTTATATACGTTTATAAAACAATAATTGTGATGGCCTCGGGACTGTGGATTAATAACTATTTACTTATCCCCTAAGATTATTTAAAATTAAAATATAAACAATTTACTAAAATATATATGCTATACTTGTTTATATTTTTAAACATTTTATATCAGGTATTATATTTATGGTAAATAGTCAAGAAAATTTTTTAAGTTATACAATATTAATTTTATCAGATATACTTGTTTTGCTGATGTAAGTGTTTTCGTATCTTAATTCCCATTTTTAACGTTTTTATTTAGAAACAATTTAAAAAAAACTTCATGTTATAAAATTGATTAAAAAAAATAGTAATTACATATCATGTAGCCATTAACAATCAACATATGCTTTTTTATGATATAAATGTAACTTTAATCTTATTACAAATTTTACTAGTTTTCATTTATTAATAATGTATGCTGACAATGACAAATATAATACGAAAAAAACCTTGTCAGTGTTAAGCTGTCTATTAGTAATACGCTTTGTATGTGTTTATATACGATATATAACAATAATATTTTAGACGACGTTTTGATAAAGGTTTTTATTGCACTCTTATTTAGAGCCCCAAAAACATTTTTCGCCCGGGGCCACCACACACTTAAATCCAGCCCTGATGATTAATGACGTTGGGAATGTGTGCTTGCGTAGATGGGCCATTAAGTTCTTAGAAAAAGAACGAAATAATTTGATGACTGATTTGTACGCAATGGAATCCGAAGTAAAAGTAAAGGAAGAAGAGAAGTACAGGGCAAAATTTACAAGTTTGATTCACGAAACTAAACTGGCAAAAATTGAGCTGAACGAACAAAGAAAAATCGAGGCGCAAGTGGACAAAGAGATAGTCCAGTTGGAAGCTGAACTAGAAAAGCTTACAATCAGAAATAGATTGGCAAATGACGATGTCCCGACATTAACCACTGTACAAATATATAGTTAAATAACATTGTTGTTTTTTTAATAGCAAATACTATTTTAATTTATAGAATACTGCAAACAACGAATACAACAGGTTACTTTATGAACAAAATCAACTGAAAGTGCAAGTGGAAATGTTGCTTAAACGGTGGCAACAAACACAAAATATTTACAATTCGCACATGAATAAGTTGAACAAAGGAAAAGAAATAGTATCTGTTCTTACCGAACAAGTTGCGAGGACTTACACATTCAGGTATACCTATTGATAGTAGTTAACGTAGGAGGAAGAGAGGGATGTATGACATAAAATCATTTCTCTATAGTTTATACTTTATAGTCAGTATCTACTTATGAACGGAAAAACAGTGATCTGTGTATTGTGTATATACGTATATACATATATATATATGTATGCACAATTTTTAGTGCTCTCCTTAAGAATTTACTTTTGAAGAACCACTCATGATATCTAATACCTATGCTATGACATCTTAGGCTAGTGTTTTAGCTATCTGTGTAAATAAGTAGTTTAAATTATCTATAGATAGAATAAATATTTACATATATTATCTGTATTACATTACGTAATATTGTAGACTATATAGGATGTACCTATAGGTATAATATTTAATTTACTTAGTAATATAAAGTTATTAATTTTGCCAACTTTATAGGTTTTATAATTTATAGTTATTCAATTGAGTAATTATAAAATAAATTCACTTATTCACCTATCAAAATAAATCATTGAGAATATTAATTGGAAGAGTTCGACATAAGTTTTTTATTTGACTTACCTTTTTTTTTTTAAATTGCTGTTGATTTAAATTAATACTAAAATATTTGAGAATAATATTTAAACACAGTTATATTTCAAATCCTCCAGAATATTATTCTCTGTGGTTATTGTAATAGATGATTTTACTTTAAGATAACTTTAAACAATTTTTTTTGAGAGTATGTGTTTTATCTATATTATTACGTAGCCGCATAGGTTATCAAAAATAAAAAAACAAATTGTGTACTGACATCCGAAAGTATTAAAGTACCAAAAAACTAAAGAATAATTCATCCAATAAGATAGAACCAAAAGCCTAATATTGACTTAAAAAAACATTTTTAAATTCTTTATTTTTTTTATATCATCTTTACTAGGTTTTAATAAATTGATTGTCGATTTGTTGCGTGGTTATCATTTAATACCGAATAAATTTCCTTTTTTTGTTTAAAATAAACATACTCTAAATTTTAAAATATTATAGAACAAATAAAAATAAAATAATTTGTTACAATATTTACAATAATAGAAAAGAGGACATCTAATTCAAATATGTTTTGAAAATTTAGCATATATTATTATGTAAATATTGGGCATTATATTATTATGTAATAATTATTATCATAATACTATTTTATATAATGATAAATTATAGGTAGAACATTGTGTAGGTACTCATTATTAATCATTAGATATATTTTAGTTAACAGAGTTGATAGTTAATTTAAGTCTTTTATCGCTTAAACTATATTTTAAATAGGTATAATAATTGTATTGATATTTGATCCAGAGATGAAGCTAAGGAAAGGTTGGAGACATATTTAAAATCAAGTAAAGCTCAAAATGGTGATAATAAAAATCACATAACGTCACTCAGACGGCAGGTGAACGAAGATTTAAGAATGACAACATTTCTTTCACAAAAGCGTATGTATAGAAAGATTACATATAGATTTTAAATTTACGCCAGTTTAGAGAAAGCATTAATAATGTATATTATGAGATTTGGTTGAATGATACAATTTAAATTGTAAATGAGATTATGTGATTTATTTATCTATGTATATTGTATATATCGTATTATGATAAAATAATTGAAACGGCTGTATATAATATAATTCGAGTTTTAAATCACTAATTAAATCGAGTTTAAGATTGCTTCCAATAAATTAATTTAGTGCGTCATATTGATGCGAAATGCTAAATTCGCATTTCTAAACATAAATAAAATATTAATAAATAAATATGATAGAGTATTGTAATATTTTATTTTAAAACCTATTTTTAGTAAAATTAAGACATAATAAACACATTGAAAAACCAATCGAAGAGAATACTGAAATGTTAGCGTTAAACGTTGAAGCAGAAACATTTATTAAACATTTAATTTACATTGCTGAAGACAAAAACTTAGAAAATATTATGGAACAAATTGTTAAAATGGACCTTGATAATCAATCCATGTTTAGGTTTTTGGTGGAATTAGAATCATCCGTAAGTCATATATTTTAATATATTTGTATAATAAATAATATTCATAATATATATTTAATGCAGTAAGTAGGTAAATAAATTGGATAAAAACAAACAATTTATATTTTTTTATTATTCATAGCTACGTGGTATTTTTGATATATCTAAAAAATATTGTAGATACTATTAAATTATAGTTTGAATTTATAACTCCATATAGAACACTAAAAAATTGAATTTAATAAAAATGTATTAATAATTTAATAAAACTTAAAAAATCTATAATTTTATGTTGGTACTCAATTTTACTTCATTTTCCTAGAGTATTGATTAATATATTAAACAAAATGCAATTTTAAATTTAAAATATTGAGTTTGAAATTCTTAATTATAAAGTTTGTATTTAATTTTTGGTTTACACCTAAATATAAAATATATGTATAGATGTATACAGTAATGTGTATATATAAAATACATAAAAGTATATATATTAAAAATTATGTAAAACATAATTTTAAATAACAAAAAGCAATTGAAAAATTGAAAAAATATAGTCCAATGGGTATACCGCTCTGCTATACGTACAATATGTGTCGAGTGGGTCACTGTTATGTGTGTATAACATTTAAATTCAATGATATACTCGTATTATTTTATACAAAAAACAATAATGAGCGGAGATGGTCTATCACTTTATCAGCCTGTATCACTAGATATGTTTTTTTGATATCGGTTCTAAAGTAATTTATTTTAATTTTATGATTACGGTAGCCGGTAAGTTGAAATTTATAGTTTTTGTTGAAAACCTTGCTTTTTAAAATATCCTTTGTATAAAATATAATAATACACCTATATAAAATTTATATATTCATTTATTATGAATAATATTTTTAAATTTTAACGAAATAATGAATATCGTTATTCATACTTTGAATATGTAAATATGTAACGTCGTCTAAATTTTAACTTAAAATGTCTAAAACAAAATTGTTGCTTGTATATATTTTAGATTTATTTTAATATAAATTATTTGAACTTAACTTTGTACCGAATTTTTAAGCATTTCTATCAAATAAATAATTTTTAATTGATATTTTATAAAAAGAAAAATATTAAAAAAAATTTTAAATTTTAAATTTCTATGAATAATTCCAAAAGAGTCAAAATATTATAAAAAATATATTACGTAGAAAATGATCATATAAATTATAAACATTAGCTGAAAATGCAAAAATACCTTTCGGTTATTCGTATTTGAGTTAAAAACAAAAAAAAAAAACATAATCAAATCGTTTTTTCTTTTTATTAAAAACTGGATTTACGTGAAAATGTCTCGTTTTTCTATAATTTTTTTTGTTTTTCCCAATATTTTTGAAAAATAGTGGTAATTTTTAAGTTTGACCTTTAAAAGAACAATCCAGGTACAATCTATCCAGTGTTGTAGTTGTAAAAAGGTGACTCATGGTTTAGATATGTATAATATGCATTTTATTCTATGTTTTTTTTTATCTTTTATTTTCGTAACAACCAAAAAAGAAAATAATATATTTATATATAATTTTATATTATTTCACTATAATAGAGAGTATACGACTATAACCAGAAGATATATGGTTTATTCGTAATAATTAGAAGGTATACGGCTTATATCGCCATATACTCTTCACTATAACACAGCACTGAATATATGTGAAATCAACTTCAAAGTTGAAAATCGAAGCATTTTTTACTACTTATCGTAGTATTCAAACAAAAAATAATTGTATATTAAATACATTCATAGCTTCGCATAGAATTTAAAAAAGTGTTAAAATTATGATTGAAAATGTAAAACAATATTTCGTGTATTTAACCTAGTATATAACTATTTTATTGCTTTAAATTGATACAGGAAGATTACAATCTATTTTTTTAATATTATTTCCGAGATAAGCCTCACTTTGTAAACTAGAAAAAATTATTTTAGACATTGCAATAAAGATGGGTAGTGTACATACCATTTTTTAAAAAACTTTTTAAACTTTTTAAGCTAACCTAATCTAATCTAATTATAATGATATGATTGTATGTAAACAATTTTTTTTTTAACAAATATAAAAAGTTAATCGTTTGTGAATTTTGAATTTTGAATTGCACTTGCAAACTGTTATCTTTACTCTTTTCTAGCACTTCTTAATCTGTTGCCATTATTGTCTAGTATCTAATACAATGAATCTGCATCTATATCTCACTTTAAATACGCGTATAGTTCTCAAAAACCAGCTGTTAACATAGTGATAAATACAACAAGCGTTATAATTACTAATCGGTGTCTGTTTTTTTAATTATATCTTAATAATTTGCGTTTTACTTCAAAATTGAGTATGTTCTACAATAGGTTTAAATATCGGAAAACTGAAAGGGGGTTTCGTTACATCACGTGGTCCTGATTTAATCGTATATTGATTGGAAATTACGAATAGGTAATAATTAATGACTAATGAGTAATAATAACCAAGATACTATATGTAATTTTATTATATTAATATTATAAGAAATATAAATTATTTCACTATTTTTAATTTATAATTTTCTAAGATAAATTAGAATTAATTTCTTATTCTAAACTGCGATTATTTGAAACGAAATGTATTATTTTTTTTTTCAGACTTCTGAAAGCATCGGAAAATAGGGTCAAAACCATTGAGTATTTAGATCGCAATATTTTGAAGAAACGATCTTAAGTATCGTTAAGCTTACTAGATTTTGAAAGGCGAGCTCAGAGTAATCATTATATAGTACACAAAATGAACATAAATATTTACATATGTACGTTGATTACATTGTTTGGTGTTCTCGGTGTATTTTTAATAAATTAAGTCGAAGCATTTATTTTTGTAAGATCGTTTACAGAGAAATACTATGATTTAATTAAATTAGTTATTTCATTAGTACAATATTAAAAATAAAATATAGCACTTATAGTTGATGATAATTTTTACCATCATCAAATATATTGTATCGCCCGTTGTCCAATAACATAATATAACAATTATGGATATCAGAGATAAAATTGTATCATTTAGTCACCTTGTATATTAATGTGGGACGTAAAGTTTGATATTTCTCTCATTTATAACATCTAACAATATTATCATCTAATTTTCAGTGATATATAAAATACGCTCAGCCGTACACCATAATTTTTTTAGTGTACATATTCGATAAAAATTTTCTTATGTTTTGTACTAGACGTTCCCATACCACCGCGATTGAAAATTTCGTTCACAATTTACAGTTTAATCGATGAAATTTAATTGAAAATACATGGATAACATTGATTCATACAACATATAAAAAATAATATTTTTTTTCCATATGTACAGGTCACTCTGCGCTCGTCTGTAGATCGTTTCTTTATTTCGGCAATTTTCAATTGGATTAAAAAAAAAATATATATTAAAATATTTTCAGCTAAAAAGCTTTATATATATTATATACACATTTAAAATGTAAAAACATTAATTTCTAATTTTTGTTATAAGTCGATTTAATTTATTATCGATCTCATATATTATACTATTTGTACAATTTTCTTTATGAAAAAAACTGTTCGTGAGTAGAAACATTAAAATAGTTATAATTTATGAAATGTACAAGGTGTGCTTCATTAAAAAAAAAAAAAAATAAATATTGTTATTTGCTAAATAACAAAAGTGCTCAGGGTAAATATATAATTTAAATAAAAATAAAAATTCTTAACGTCACATTGTGGTCGATGACTTAAACACAGGCTTGTATTTATATGTATAATGTATATACCTAAGTAGTAAATATTTTTTTTCCGTATAGAAATTGATACAAAACGGTTATTGGGAAGATAAAAATGAACAAATATTTTTAAGATCCGTCTTTGATAACATTGTAACATTATAAATACTAAATATTATGAGTCAATGTTTTCTTTAATTAACACAAAGTAAACTGATTAAAATGAAACTTGAAAGCGATAATTGATCTATTATTCTGAAGCATAAGATAATTATATCATTAACATTTCATTTTTATTGAAGAATTTGGAAGTGGAAATGTATTATGTGGTCAAGTATACTTGTGTACGTGCTAAGTGGTTGTGTAACGATTGACATATGTTGTGTCAATTGTGTGTATCATCTTTATAGTGTATAATGTATATAGATGCGTTTTATTTGTTTCGAATACGCCATGAACCACGGTAAACTATTGGCATTATTTATTACTATTTCAGGTATTTAATAGAAATAAATTTCCAACAATGATCTACAGATTGATTTAGAAATGAAGTAAAAATAATTGATCATATCCTCTTGTGCACGTTTTTGATAAGATTTTCTCTCTAAACTTTCAAAAATTAAGTTCCAATGAAAACTTAAGCACTTTTCATTTTCTATATTCTTTAATTAATTTTCTTGAAGTTCTAAGAGAGTCAAATAAAAAATGAAGATAGGTATATGTGAAATTTTTTTCAACATTTTCATTGATTAAACTTAATATGTAATATATATACATTATTGTATGGCCGCAATTCGTACGTACCTCTCATAAACCCGGGCCGCAATTCGTACGTTATTTTGAGACTGGGCCGCAATTCACCAACACTGAATTCTATAAAGTATTGTTTTGCAAATATTGTGAACCGATAATTGATTTGGAAAGATAATCCAGTGTAATTATACAGAGCCTAAAAACTGTAAAACGTATGTACTGTATGTGTTCTATTAAGTGTAAAGATCAGAATGGCACCAAGTGCCAACAATTATAAAAACATGAGCTCTTGTTTAAAAAACCAAAGTTTAATATGGATTTATGTAAAGGTCTCGGCTATTACACCACTTAATAAGCTATTGGACGACGGACACATATTAGTTGTGGACAAATTATTCAGGTCAATAATATAACCTGACAATTGCGGACAAGAGTTTCGTTGTCATAATACTAATTGCGTACATAATTTTTTTAAATAAAAATCACATGAGTTTGCCTTCACCAATTTTTTCAGGACTCAGGAAAAATTTTTTATAACAGCGTGTATAAATGATACTTTGCTGATTTCACCACTTGAATATTGCAACATTTGTTTGCTGATAAATGCCTCCTTTTTGACAGTTTTTTTCGTTCTTTTTAAATTTCGTACAGGAGTAGATGCAATTCATTTTCGTATCAATACCAATCTGTTCTTTATTAAAGGTGTCGATAAATTGATGTATGATAGGGTGACTGCAATAAAACATTTCATTAAGAATAGCATGAACACTTTCACAAGCATTTGTCGTTTGTGAAATAGAAGAAAATGAAGTTTTTCACTACACATTTTTACACAGACAATAGACGATCAGAAAGACGATAGATATTAAGGAAGCATGATTAAGATTGTGTTTAAACTTATCAAACATATTTTTTGACAGCTGTCTCAATATTGTCAATATCAAAAAGTAATCTCTCACCGTCCACGACCGTTATGTCAAAAATAATAATTGAACATTTGTCCGCAATCAGTATCTTATATTTGTGTCTGCAATTCGTATGTTACCTTTTTAGATTTCGTCTGCAACTCACATGATTCTTGTCACTTTGTTCGTAATTCTTAAACACCGAAACTATCAAATGTAAAGTTTTGGAAATTTTTGGAAGTTTATTATGGGAAATATATTAAATAAGTACGAGTTCAATGTGGTAGTTAATGTACAAAAAATATTTAAAAAAGCACTATCGTGTTTAAAAATTTTTAAAAATAACGCACCAGATATCCATCTATCTCTAGAATCTATATTATAACCTGTTAGAGTACTTGGATTACCGTCGTACTTTATTTATTACTGTAAATACTAAATACTATGAATAAATTCTTGATATCGTGAGTAGGTTAGATCTCAATGATGCTTTATGTATTAAAGTTTCAAAAAAAAAAAAATTTGGTGAAAGAAAATGTACAAAATAATTTAGTATATTATATTAATCAAATTTTAAAGTAATTTTTGAAACAATTTTAAAACTGCAAACTAAGAACATGCTTTAGTAGAGTCTTGGAGTTTCGTGGACATTGTAAAAACAAAAATAACTGCACATTGTACTGCATAATACTGCATATTTAAGCTTTTTTTTTAGTGCATATGTATACACATATTTCATTATTTTTTAGCACATAAAGTTTCAAGCCTGATAAATTTAGAGCTCGGATGTTAATTAACATAAATTCGTTTAAATATGTATTTAGAAATACCAAAATATGCAATTATATGTCTTCAAATTTATTGATATGACTATATTAATTATTTTATATAAATCTGTGTAAAAAAAAAAGAAAAATATTATTTGAAATTCAAAAATAATATGTTATATACCTATATTAAAATTACGTAAATAGATACGCGAAACATACAATAATTATAGAACGTAAAATATGTGTTTTGTAACTAAAAGCGTTTACTTGTGGCACATGTTAACATATTTGTAGGTAAAACCAAGTAGATACGTCCCGATTATAAATTTTCAAAAACGATTTTACGCGTGCTTAAACGACAACGATAATATTATTATATCTTTATCCGTTTAACTGTTTTTGTAAATGTTCAAAATAATAATAATAAAACGAAACATTTTTCATTGTTTCTAATTAGTAAACTAGAAATATTCTACTAAATCTAGAAATAAACACTATATGCAAACATAAAAAGTGTCAAATATGTAATTAAGTGCAAAATAAGTAAGTCGATTTGAAATCTATAGAATTCGTGAACTTTAAATCGTATAATTTTGGTATAATTCTGATTGCGCCAAAAAATATGCTAAGTCATAAATATTCGAGTTCTATACAGCGATGATAGTAACACAACAACAATAATAGTAACAACAATAATAATAATAATAATAACAACAACAACAACGATAATCATGACAATAATCTTATTCGTGTAAAATTTGGTCGTGCAGTTGACGACAGCGGAAAACACGATCGAAGAAACGCGCGTAATCGTGACGGAAAGAAAGCGCGAGTTGTGTGACGCGCAGGCGGCAAAAGCGGAGGAGTTTGCGAACGCCGTGAGGACGTTCAAAGCCGGGCGGGCGCCTTTGCGGGAGGCGCGCAGAACGTTGCGGCTGATGGCGGACGAATGGCGGCAGACGTGCCAGACGGTGGACGACGCGTGCGAGCTGATGATGGGCTCGGACAGCCGGCGGCCATCGTACCATCTCTTGGTGCGTTGCGACGGTGGTGGCGGAGACGGCTGCGAAGAAGAAGGAGAAGGAGAAGGAGAAGGAGAAGGTGATGGAGAAGAAGGAGAAGATGACGAAGCCGACGAAAGCGACGACGGCGGCGGCGGAGGCGGTCGTCACCGCCGTCGTCACCACCACCGCCACCGACGGCGCCGCCGCCGCCGCCGCGAACGGCCGGGCGACGGATCGCTATCGCCGACCGCCATACTGACCGAGTTGATCGAGTATTTCGAGCCGATGGACAGGCGACTGGACGACGTATTGCAACGGGTGTTCTGGATACAAAACAACTACATTTACGAGGACAGCGGGCCGAGACAGCAGCAGGAGGCGGCCGCCGGTGACTCGATGTCCACCGCGTCCGAGCAGGAAGACGAGTTCCTGTCTCGCGATCTGGACGGAACCGTCAACAGACACGCGAAAATCATCGCCGCCCTAGATCCGACCACCGTTACGCCCGACAACGAACCACCGGCGCCGGACGCCGGTCAAGTGTCTTCGCTCTGTCCCAGGTCAGTGTTATTGTCAATCTTTCAGCGCGAGGGCCAAATTTCTTTTAAATTGATTCACTGCTGCTGCGACATCCGCGGACGTCGTCCCGTAAAAAGATTTCTGAAAACATATTTTATTTCGACATGCAGTTTATTCAAAAACGATTTTTTCACATATTGAAATAAATTAATCTGTTCCGTTAAATATTATTGACGTTTTAACATATTTTTTTATTAACAATTAATATATAAAATTCGAAAATTAAATTTTGAAGGGTTTACAGATGAATTTTGTGTCAAAAAGGTTGTATTGAAGTTAACTTTGCGGTGAATTGAAATACATTTTCAGAAGTTCTAGGCAACCGACGACTAGTATGAGTGGGTACAGTTGGCATAAGATAGTTCTGTTTTGGTAAAAAATATCGACGGAATAAAATACCCTTCAATAATTTTAATTATTTCAATTTTAATTGAAATGTTATTATTGAATATCGTATTTAATTGAAATTTTACGAGTTTATTTAGACAGTTAAAATAATACGTAATGTTATGTTGAGTAAAATTGACCATTCGTAACTTTGGAGTTTCAAATACATTTTTGAACTACTGGATCTTAGGCAACTACTCGTTTTATTAACATTTCTTATTTAAGTTCATTTGTCAGTAATATTTGTAACTGTAACGATTGGGTTATCAATCCGTACCTTTGATAAATAAATAAAAGTTTAAAAAAAATCACCCATAGGAAACAGAAACCGTTAGAATTGCGTTTTTTTTAAGGCGTTACGTATAGGCAATAACCTATGAGTCTACTCGGCCAAACATAGTCTTTTTGTAAGTAGTAAGCTAGTGCCTAGTAGACCATAGGTAGTGTGTGTTCATCAACCATTATCCGTTTTAGATAGTTAGTTGTACACATTTGCATATATTAACATTTCAGCTCAAGATAAAAATATTCAAAACTAATTTATGACTTTAGATTACTCAGTTATATACGGCACACTTGATTAAAATAAGTAGGTCGTGGTTTAATTTTAAAAACAAAATATGTTTGGAATAATTCATAAAGAAGTTTACTTGTATCAATCGGAGTACTTTTTAGTTGTTCATAAAAGTAAAAGATGTTTGAAATTTTATAAATTTGATAATTTGAAAAATGATAAATTGATAACTAATATTATTATTATTTTAACTATTCTAAAATAACAAAATATTATCAGTATTACCATTGAATAATTATACTTAGGTATTATGATAAATTAATAAAAATTAATCTCATTAAATTTAAAGTAAAATACTAAAATATAATAAAAATATTTTTTAAATTATATTTTTTATAAATGTGAACAAATTTACTATTACATAAGTTTCTAAAATAACAAAAAAACTTACTTTCTTATTTATATCATATTATTATTTTTAAATACAATTTAAAAGTTAAAATTTGCATAGGCAAATATAACTATTTATAATTTATATAACTATAAATATTAGGTAAGTAATAACATTAAATATGTATATTTATTTTTATTAATTAAAAAAAAAAAAAAATGAATTATTATAAAAATAATTTTTAAATTTAAAAATTACTAAAAATTTAATAGTGGATAGGTAAGTGTACAAATTTATTATAGTGTTATATTTGTCACTGTTTAATAATATTAAAATACATAGAAATACATAATAACAATTAAAAAAATATTCAGAGTACTTAATATGTATTTTAAATACTTTTGAAAAAAGTATTTGAACAAAGTAATTTGAATACTTTTTTAAATATGTACAATGTACATTGTACATTAAAATCAAATATTAATTTTTAAACGTTTTTCTTAAAAAAAAAAAAAAATAATAAAGAATAGATGTTCGATTTGAGTTAGAAATATAATCACGTCTACATATAAAATATAAAATAATACAAATTTTTTAAAAGTTATATTTTTATTCGTAAAACGAACTATACAATTAACGTAAGACTTAAAAATGCTATAAAAAAACTCGTTGATTTAAAAGATATAAGAAAAATGTTATTTAAATATTTTGAATGTATTGTAATTATCTATAAATATTTTTATTTTTATTTGTATTTACGAGTATACTCAATTTTTTTTATACTGCGTATTAAAATAATTTTTTTGAATATTTTTCAAATTAAGTATCTGTTTTTGTATTTAAATACTTTTAAAAATAAGTATCTTTTACAAGATTCACTTTCTTGTGAGCACTTTTAATTTGAGTCTGCTCCCTGCTTACCTAGGTTAATAATATATTATACCTATCTGATAAGTAGGGCTGGGATTTGTATGTAAATACATATTTTTACCAAAACATGATAAATTAATTATTGTAAATAATAAATTTGTTTCACGTGATTTGCAATAAAATAAGACATACCTATATTATTTTATATATTTTTACATAGTTTGTAAAATTTCTGCTTTTTTTTTTACATATTTCGTAAATGTTGACAATTTTGGTGGTTTAGTAGTATTATATATTTATACTTTGATAATAGTAGGTATTCGTAAAATAAGTAAGTGTATAATGCACATAGGAAATAACTAATAACTAATAAGTATATGAAAGTTTCAGTTAAATATTAATAATTTTATTTTAGTTTATCTTAACTGTTTCTGATCGATAACTATATATTAATTTTTGATTATACTTTATGTTCAAAAATTATTTGATGAAATATATTTAGGAATTTAAAAAAATGTCAGTACTTGCGTTCACGTGTTTGTGAAAATATCTGTGATGTGGAGCGCTCTTTTAGAAGGTATAAATCAATATTAACACCGTATCACCATACTCGTATTTTTAATTTTGAAAAATTATAACAATTAATGGTTTGTTATTTTTTACTTTAAATTGATTAAAAATTAATTGTATTACACCATATTTTTAAATTTTTCTCATTACATATGTTTTATTTTATTCTACATATTATTTTGGTAATTTAATTATATATATTATGTACATATTTTTGGTTTTTTTTTTATTACATATAGATCTCAGCCCTAATGATAAGTGTGTAAAAATGTCATAGTTGATCGTAATTCTGAGACATGCGCACCCAACTGTTATTTGAATTTTAAATTTATTTTTATAATTGAATTTGTTCCGTTACAGGTGTTTAGAAAAGCGTTATGAAGAAGAAAACCAATGGGTGTTGAAGTATATCGATAAGACCCAAGGAGGTAGAGATACACCACCGAGCATATTACGTATATGCGACAGTAATAATGTCAGTACTAAAGAAGTTAATGACGAAGATTTTAAGAAATACTTTCATCGGACTTTAGACTGTCCTCTTTATACAGCTGAAAAGTCCCACACCAAGTAACACGACGATGAACATATTATCACGCGATGCCCATATAATACGCTGCTGTTGTCGCGTTTATTAATATTGTGTTTTTTCCCCTTTAAAACTGTCGTATTTTAGACACATTTATTTTTCAAACATTAATCTAATTTTGACGAATGAGAAATGATTATGTTTGTAAATAAATTTAGTTTTTCTTCACAAACGACTGATATTGTTTGTTACGTATTGTTGTTTATTTATCTACATCGCAGTATACATGTACAAATTAATATTTTATATGAATTGTGTTTATATTTTACCTATGGATAGTTTAGGTACTTAATTTCTGATTTTATATAAAGTTGATTAATCGTAAATAGTAAGTACTAGGTATTTACATTATTGGTCGCATTAAAAAGAATTTCTGGAGTTCATTTTTCAAAAATAATTTTTTCTACATATGTTTGAGCATTGAAAATACATTTCTCAATCTAAAAATTATTTTACCAAAAGTCTTAAATTCTTAATTAAGTGTACAAATATATTAAGTTATAAAGATATAAATTTTGCCTAATATGGTTGGAACTTGAATGCTATAAAAAGTTTTGAAAAAAATTGATTTAAAAATTAAAAAAAATTACTCATGTGTATGCAAAACTTTTTTACATTTATATTTAATTAGTGTCATTATGTGAAACGCATAGATAATATATTATATTATCTATGGTTATACGCAGGTCTCAAAGCGTTTTGATTATTAAGTAAAGATCCTATTTGAATATTAACCTATCCCACTAGTGTTCGGACTCTCCAATAAATTTATCAAGATAATTGTTTGTACATATTTTACATAAATATTTTTTTAATCTAAATTAATCCATTTAAATACATTTTTATCGATGAAAATTGCCAGAATTATTCAGGTTAATTTTTAAATTTTTATTTGGATTCTCAAAAAGTGTATAATTTATAAAAAATACATAAATGTAATGGTACTGGTTTGTTATAACCCCGTCGTGGCAAATGAAAACTTTATAGCATCGCTTCTCAGGTTTGTTATTATCTCGCCATCCACAATAATTTATTTATATATATATAATTTACAAATAGCGTATAATAACGATTGTGTTATTACTTGTCTAGTAGAGCCAATCGCTCGTTGATTTTAGATATTTTTAGGAGTGGATAAATTTAAGCAATGGACTACTAAAACATTATTTTGACATTAACTATGTTAAATGCTTGATTCACATAATATTTCCAATTATTTTGGGTAACATTTTATTGGGTGGAATAGTTATGTTTGTAAGGATTGAGTGCTAGCATTCCACTAACGATAGACGATGTAAACCGTCTAATGGAATTTTTATAAATCCATTTCATTCAACAATAACAAGTTATAATATTAATAGTAAATTATAATATGTTTAAGCATTTCTTTTATATACATAAATATATAAATATTTATATTCGTGTACCCGCGAGAACGAGTATTGCCGCATTATATTGTGGAATTCCACTGCGCAGATAGTTTTGAGCCACTGCAGCGGGTCTGTCCAATCGCGCTCGGCCAAGGAGGAGTCAATCGTTGTTGGTAAAGCGAGTCTCTTTAAATTCGTAAATTTTGGGTTAACATGTTTTTTAAATACAATTCTAGTGGTTCAACTTCGTAGTGTGTAAGTGATTATTTATTTAATTGTGTAGACGTATGTGATATGTAAATGTAACACAATATTTCTTCTATACGTATCGTCAACAATAGACAACTGTCACCGTCTAACTACGGTGTATTTACGATGAAAAATAGTTGCCCGAAATACAATATATCGACTGCTCTGTGAAGCCTTAAAAATAGATGCTGACAATCTGTGAATGTAATTTTGGGGAAAGTTGCATAATATGACTGCAAACTTCGAAAATGACTACTACTTATATTATGTTAGCGATTACACCAGTTCAAGATATATATTTTATTTTATTTATTTTTTTTTTTTTAATTAGCTATTAGTTGAAAACTATGATAGCTCGACAATTACAATTGTACAGGTACAAAATTAAACATTACAATTATATGATATATAATAAAATGTTACAGTAATAATATGAATTGAAGACCTATAGGTACAGTAATTACATTTACATACTGGCAATTAAAAATATTTTAAAACTACATTTTTATCAGAACTTTCCTTTAATCACTACCCTCATACGCTCCTTTCAGCCGTTCTAAATAAACAGATTGTTCATAGTCCGATACTCTGATTACCTTTCTTATCATATA